TATGGGGCACGGGGTGGGCCGGTTGGCGCCGGTGGGGATTTGGGCCGGCCTGGTAGGCCGCTGGCTGGGCCGGGTGGTCCAGCGGGGGGGGGGGTGTGTGTTTCCTTTCTTTCTTTCTTTTTATTTATTTACTTTTCTGTTTTAAATCCGTTTAAATTATTTAGACATTTTCTAAAAATGTGTTTACTTCACCGCAATTACCTTTGTAATATTTGACAACCACCGAACATTTTAGTTTTAATTTTTGAAAACTTTTGCCGCTTGACATTTGTTTGAACTTGAAATTGACGCGGTTTGAACTAATGGACGTCTAGCAACAGTAATCAGGATGACGTGGCATGATTAGCGAGGGATTACTGTAACATAATTATCCGGGCGTTACAGAGTATCACATAAACACACCATACAAATCCCACAAACACACAAACTGTTCGTACAAAGTACGAACGATACAAGAACATAAACGCCCAGCGCCAGTTCTCACGTCTCCAAGCTCCCATCTGTCACCTCGGCCGAAGGAAGAACCACCGGCGACAGGGATCCTCCACCGAAGTCATCATCCTTGTCACCATCACCGGCCTGGCGCATCTGGATCCTCCACAGCACCTGCAGCCGCTCCGCGACTTCCTTCATCGTCGGCCTGTCGTCTCCTCTCACGCTCAGGCAGTGCACGGCGAGGGCCGCGAGCTTCTCAACGACCACCATAGCGGCGGCATCCTCTGCGATCTCAGAGTCGAGCATCTTCAGGTGCATGTTCTGGTCGAACATCAGGAGGAAACTATGGGACAAGGATCTCTTCTCCTTGGAGGGCCCTCTTCCTCGTCAACAGCTCGAGGAGAACGACACCAAAGCTGTACACATCACTCTTGTCGGTGAGGACATGGCTGATGAAGCTCTCAGGGTCGAGGTAGCCGAGGGTTCCCTGGACGAGCATGATGAACTCGCTTTCGTCCATGGACTTGAGCGCCGATGCTCCAAAGTCTGCAACCTTGGCGTGGCGCTGATCGTCGAGCAGAATGTTGGCGGATTTGACATCCCCGTGCAAAATTGTGCGGGATGTCGATGAGTGCAGGTAAGCAAGAGCTTCTGCTGATTGTGTGGCGATCTTCAGGCGGAGATCAAGTGGAATTGGTGACAGATTGTGATCAGGCCCACCATGAAGAAACTCATATAGTGTCCCATTGGAGACGAACTCATATACCAACACTGGGACATCTATATCCAGGCAACAGCCTAATAACCTCACGATGTTCCGGTGGTTGATCTGCGACAAGATTATGATCTCATTTACGAACTCGTCCCTGCAATCATCATCAATCACTTTGGACTTCTTTATAGCAACCTCTCTGAGGTCATCCAAAGTACCCTTGTAGACCATTCCATGGCCGCCGCATCCAAGAACTCGATCTTCGTTGTAGTTGTCAGTGGCTATCTTGATCTCCTTTTCTGTGAGTATGCGGACGGTGTCAACCTGCCTTGACCTCATCTCATCATATAACATGAGCCCTCCATTTTGTTTGAAATACTCGTCTTTCTCCTTCCTGTGCTTTTTTCTTTGTAATTGCATAGCCAAAAAGCATGCCAAGGATATTATCACAACGGCAGAAACGCTCAAGCCTGCAAAATCATATAATTTTATTTAGGCATGTGAAATTGATATTGAGATGTTTCAACTCATCAAATCAAGGAGAAATATATGAATCTGTAAGTTAGACAAAACAAAACAAACGAGAGTTGAACTTGCCTATCAACAGCTGTTCATCTCGAGAATACAGAGGTCGGCATCCGAACTTTGTACCATCAGACTTGGTTCTTTTCTTGCATTTACAATCATAGCCTCCTGGAGTGTTAAGACAGACTCCGTTCCTGCAAGGATACAACTCTTCGTATTTGGGGTCCTGCTCACGCAGCATGCATTCATCTATATCTGAACATGATCAACAAAACCATTGCACGCAATCAGGTAAGTCAAACTGCTTGCTATGTATGACCTACAAGTACAGTAGTTACCTTGACAACCGTTGTTCAGGTAGGCGTTACCCTCGTAACCAGGGGAGCAATGGCACAAGTACCCAGGTCCATTGCTCGCACTCTCGCAGTAACTGTTTGCACTGACACATGCATAGTTTCTTTGCTCCAGGCATGATCCGTTCCTAACCGCCCAGTTCACGATGACAGGTGCACCGTCCTTTGCCCTGTTGTTGATGAACCCAAGCTCGCCAGCGAGGTCACGACGCTGGAACCTGTACCATCCGACCTCAGCGACCATGGCATAGAAGCATGGATTGAATCCCCACACACTGCTACTGTTAATCGGAAACGCCACATTGAAGGCGGTGAGGTTGGTCGGGATGGATGCCTCACAGCAGCCCGTCCCAGTGCATGGTGCTCCGTCGTCTGATGCACCACTGGCACCATCGCAGTAGGAGTAGCAGCCAGCAAGGTACTGGCTCGTGCCTCCACGGAAACCACCAACAAGACCCAGAGTATTGCAGCCAATAACCATAAAGCGGTTGCGCCCAGGGGATGGGAGGAACGGCGTGTCCTCCAGGCCGAACCCCACGGTGTTGTTATTGCTCGCCGATACGGTTGCACTTGATGTGAAGCAGATGTAGCTGACAGGGATGAGCACCCTCATCTCTCCGCGCTCCAGCGAGATATCAGCAACGTTGACGGCCACATCGGCTGGCCCCCCAACCGTCGGCCGCAGCGGGTGGGAGGTGTTTTCGCAGTCGAGATTGAAGAAGCTGCTGAGGCTGACTGCGGCACACTGTGCGCCGATGCCAAAGGGGTAAGGGATGGGCACATCACCGCACCTGTCAGGGCAGCCTGGGAGCGCCAGGGACATGGCACCACCCGCAGGTTTTGCCAATGCCATCACCAGGAAGACTACAATTAGTTTCAGGTAGAGCATTACAACCAGAGCTGGTGTTTGCTGCTGCAAGGTTAGATGCATGGCTCACGCCATCCCTTGCTTAATTTGGCGATTGTGTTGAGTGTGCTGACTGCTGAGCCCCATGCTTCTCCTTTTATGAGATAAATTGCGCCTTAGCATACCACGCAATCAGACTCGGCCTATACAACAGATACAGTCACATCAACTCAAGTATTCAAAGGTGAATTCCGATCAAGTAAAAGTCTAAATCCACGTTGCAGTATGATGGTTGATATGTCCAACCTTTTTATTTTGTTTTTTCGAGATGAGCTGGTGTATGTATGTTAAAATGGTCTGACTAGCTAGGTGGTGGTTTGTCCTAGTCAAGTATTGACCTCACCCCAAGTAAAGTCTATGTGCAAGGTGTTGCCATTTTTCCCTTAAATAGTGAGTCAAAGCCTCAGCCTAATATGAATAATTCTCTTGTTAGATGTCAGAATTTACTACTTAGACGCATGCAGTGATGTACAACGGGCTAAATCGACAGGAGGTAGAACTTTGTTTTAGCCGTCCCAATTAAGCACATCTGGACAGAAGTTGTAGCAGAATACCATAATACTGAATTACTGGTATCATGTATCTGTTTGTGCCATAAAAAAGTCTAGTTTTGATTATTATTACTATTATCCGAGGTAAGAATTACCTAGTTAACTCGGATCATGCCCATCATATAACTAGGGTAAACCTCACGTAACGTAGCTACATGCTAGAATATATGTGTGTGTGTTTTCAGAAGTAGAATAGCATACATTGTATAGCTCTACACGGTATAGCTCTAAAGTCTTCAAGACGAATTTTCTTATGCAAGAATTATATATTAGACACCTTGACCAGTTCAATTCCCAGAAATTGTGAAGAAACCGCATGCACCAAAATTTACTAACATTAGCTTATGAGGACCGTTCAGTACCTGTTTGGAGCTAGATAGGATAGTCTGGGACCAGTTCTGATGCTTGCATGCATATTCGGCTTCCAAGTCCCAACCGGACTGAAGCTAGGCTCACACTCGTCAGCATGCGTGTAAACAGTCCATTTTTTCAGGCCAGGGGGGCTTCAGCATGCAACCTCCAGGGTATCACTTTGGCGCATCTGCGCAAGGATCATCGTTTCTCCCTGCCACAACAGCAAAAAACCTAATGCCTGTGAAAGCTGTGAACGGAGATAAACGGTTGAACAGTCAAAATATTTTCAGATTTCAGCCTAGTTATGCACTTCAAACTATTGCTGGCTAAGCTTATCTTGACTTTTCAAGCTGATCGACTAGTGCTTCCATCTAGTTTGTTATGTAGAAGTTCCAAACTACGGTATCTGACCAAACAGATATGACATGCATTCACATGTGGGACATTAAACTACGAGCTATACTTTGACTGGCATATGAATAACCTATAAACCGGTGAAGACTTTTCTAAATTATAAGTGAACTAATCAGAACAACATATAAACCATCATCCTTTACTCAATTTCAGAGAAACCTTCAATAGAAACGTGGGAGCGAACTAATCAAAAATATTATATGCATTGTGATTTTCAACTCTCAATACTAAACAATACAAATGGGTGACAAGATTTATCCAAAATATAAGCAACTCTGGTATCACTTTCTTTCACTCTCAGACACTTGTCAATACAAAGGACTAAACAAACTATATTTCTGTTTCTTAATAAGCACTGCGTTTTCCAACTTTGAACACTTAAACAATACAAAATTCAGGTAGAAGTATCCCATTCAACGCTGATCTCACCCACGAAATAGTTTATTTTTCTCAAACACACCTAAGTGTGCGCCGCTGTCACCCATGAAATAGTTAATCAACAATTATACAAATCAACTGTAAATAGTAGCTCATACATAAGCACCAGTCTGAGGATCCATGGTCTATTAAGCCTAGGGTACACAATCAGATAGCAACGAAGGAAAATGGGATACGTTGCCTAAGTTGGCAAGTTAGAAAGACAGCGCCGCAGGAAGTAACCACCAAGTTTCCAACCATGAAAGAAGCATTCATCCTCCTGATTCTCATCGCCTTCAAAGTGGCGGCGCTATCTGCAACCACTTCTGGGATCTCCATAGCGTTGCCGGGGTGCCCTGACAAGTGTGGCAACGTGTCAATCCCATACCCTTTTGGCATCGGCAATGGCTGCGCCGCAGCTAGCTTGAACAGCTACTTCACCGTCACCTGTAACAGCACCTTCCAACCCCTACGACCAATGATTGGTGGCCCTTCGGGGTTATCAGAGATCATTGACATCTCCCTGGAGCGTGCTGAGATGCGTGTTTACGGCCCCGTCAGCTACAACTGCTTCGCGTCGAACACCACAATCATGGACAACTACACCAGCGGCTTCAACTTGGTGGGTACGCCGTTCATCCCCTCAACCAAACGCAACCGCTTCATGGTCATTGGCTGCAACACCATGGGTATCATTGGTGGCTACCTGCACAGCAACCCAGACCTGTATGTGGCCGGCTGCTACTCCTACTGCCAGGGCATCAACAGCACGTCTAACGGTGCCCCGTGCACTGGGAAGGGCTGCTGCGAAACCACCATCACCCCAAACCTCACCGACTTTGCGGCGCTCTTGATCATCAACCAGAGCAGTGTATGGACATTCAACCCATGCTTCTACGCTATGCTTGCAGAGGTTGGATGGTACAGCTTCAGGCAGCAGGACCTTGTCGGGCGTCTTGGGTTCATCAACGAGAGAGCCAAGAGAGGTGTCCCTGTTATTGCTGACTGGGCCATCAGAAATGGCTCCTGCCCAAAGGATGGAGCAACGGCGCCAATGGGTTATGCATGTGTCAGTTCAAACAGCTATTGTGTGGGTGCAACCAATGGCCCAGGCTACATGTGCAACTGTTCTGAAGGATATGAGGGCAATCCTTATCTCCCCAGAGGCTGTCAAGGTGAATTATTTACTAATGGAATTTCTCTCAATTTTAGAAATCGGGATAAGCAACTGTCACTGCAAGCATATTTCAGTAGATTTTTGTTCCTTCTTAAAAAAATCTTTAGCTTCCTTAATATATTTTAAGTTTTGGTTTAATTATGGCTTTATGCCACTATATATTAAATTTATAATTCTTTTCAGACATAGATGAGTGCAAGCTGCATAAGCAAAACTCCAAGTATACAGAATTATACCCATGCAGAAATGGGGTATGTCGCAACATACCAGGAGGTTATGTATGCAAATGCGGGATAGGAAAAAAATCAGATAGCAAAAATTCCGGATGTCAACCTGTGCTAACCCAAGCTGAACAGGTGGTTATAGGTAAGCAACATACCCGAGGGTATACTCTTTCTTTATCCAAGGTGCATTTACATGCTTTTGATGAGTTGAAGCATCATAATCATTCTGCAGGCCTCAGTGTTTCCTCAGTTGTGGTGATAGCATTGGCATGCCTGTTGGCCATGAAATTTCAAAGAAGAAAGCACAGGAAGGAGAAGGACGAGTATTTTAAACAAAATGGAGGTCTGAAATTATATGATGAGATGAGGTCAAGGCAAGTGGACACCTTTCATATACTTACAGAGAAAGAGGTAAAGAAAGCCACAGAAAACTACAGCAACGATCGAGTTCTTGGTTGTGGGGGTCATGGAATGGTTTACAGAGGAACTTTAGGTGATGGCAAAGAAGTTGCCATAAAGAAGTCCAAAGTAATCAACGACGACTGCAGAGAAGAATTTGTAAATGAGATAATAATATTGTCACAGATTAACCATAGGAACATCGTGAGGTTACTTGGTTGCTGCTTGGAGGTAGACGTTCCAATGTTGGTGTATGAGTTCGTATCCAATGGTACCCTCTTTGAGTTCCTTCATAGCAATGATCATAAATCAATAATCCCATTGGATCTTCGACTGAAGATTGCTACACAATCAGCAGAGGCCCTTGCTTACATCCATTCATCAACTTCTCGCACAATTCTGCATGGGGATGTCAAATCACTCAATATACTTTTGGATAATGAATACAATGCAAAAGTTGCAGATTTTGGAGCATCGGCACTGAAGCCCATAGACAAGGATGATTTCATCATGTTTATCCAAGGAACTCTTGGGTACCTTGACCCTGAGTCTTTTGTCAGTCATCACCTTACTGACAGAAGCGATGTCTACAGTTTTGGGGTTGTTCTTCTAGAGCTACTAACAAGAAAGAAGGCTATATTCATTGATAATCTTAATGAACAGAAAGCGCTATCGCATGCCTTCCTCATGACGTTTCACCAGAAGAAGCTCCGCGATATATTGGATGATGATATAATAGAAGATGAAGTTACGGTGGTGCTCGAGAAACTAGCTGAACTCGTCATGCATTGTTTGAACCCAAGAGGAGATGAGAGGCCAACAATGAAGGAAGTAGCAGAGCGTTTGCAAATGTTGAGGAGAATCCAGATGCAGCAAGTCACCACACCAAATCCTATGAGGACGCAATACCCTGATGGAGAATCATCAATGTCTATAGCTTCTGACGAAATGAAATACCAGAGCACCAACACAGCCAAATTGGTCCTAGATGTAGATCGTGCAAGATGACTACTGTATGTATCTTCCTTGGCCTGCTGGGGTAACAGTGAATGTACTTTCTTGTGAAACACTAGTCACATCTTTCATTATCACTGTATCTGTTTCTTTATGTATAATGGTCATCTCATGATTTCTAGGACAGCTCTGTAATTATGCTGCTGTGTGTACACATAGTTCATCAACAGTCATGGATTTTGTCTATTTCTAGTACAATTTCTTAGAAATCTACCAGCTTCAATTTTACTCACTGGTTCATATAAAATATTTAGTGCATGTTGAGTGCATACGTTTTAAGGCATTTGGGCATGATTGGGTTGATCTCCAGAATAGTCTTGGCGTATTACACACATGCCCCGCAAATTACTCTTTAGAATTAAGAAATTATTAACCACCAGGCGAAATCATCTGCTCATCTGCACCTAAGCCAGCTGCAATAGACAATGACAGCTGCTGGTCACCAGGCTGGAGCCCTATAGCTGAGGCCAGCAGGAAAAGCACATAGGTGAAGGTTGAAGCCCCGCTTTGCTCATTGGTGATGTTGAGCTGAAGGTTGGATCTGCAGAACCCAGGAAATATATTGTGGTCCAGAAAGCATGATATCACTGAGCCCAAGGTGCTTTTAACCACCCGTAAGTGGACTTAGTTGATGCGGCATCATATATCACGTACAGTTTTGGGTCGAGGACTGGGGCTGAAGAAGATAACAACTGAATACAAATCTTCACAGGGAGCTCATCTTTTTCATCGATAATAGAATCACAATAACTCAAGGAAGAGAAAACCCGGCATACCTAATAAGGCGCCTAATAGACTGCTGCCATCTAGACTGCAGGAAAACAACTACATGCATCCAGCCTACCCAGGCATCTGGACTGAAGGAAATATAACAAAGCCAAAAAAAAAACAGAGAAAGGTTCTAGAATCATACTCCAATATGGTACAGCTGTTTCTAAGACTAACTAGGGTCAATTATGCAGAGGGCAATCCATGTATCTATTTTGATAAATGAAAAAATGCACAGGGTCACATAGCTTATTTGATCACGTACCTTATTACATATATAGATCAAATGTAGATGTGCAAGTCATGAAGAGCCAATTGAACAGGTATCAATTCCCTGCACATACAAATTATAACACGTGAGTGAGTACAGGTACCCCTCAGATAAGTCAGCATGTGCCAAATATATCATGATTATCCTAAGACGGCATTAGCTCGATGTCAAGCTATGCAAATATTCAAATATGCTCTCAAATGTTAGCATCTAAATTTTCTTAGGAATATCCTCCTGACAACAAGTGTTATAAGTCATAACATCATGACATTAGCATAAAGCAAAAGAATGACATTTGGGGAAATGGAAAGGATTGCTTGAACTGTGGAAAAGCAACCAACCTGATCAAACATGTGTATGGTGAGGCTATTCACAACTTGAGTGGATGACGTAATATATTGGTCAAGTAAATATTAGAGAGCACATGATCAACAAAACCATCGTCCTTATACACCTTAGTTACCAGAGAAATCAGGTATACATGCACATATCGACGACATAGCAGATGGCGAGATGCAACAAATAAATAGGAATTCAGCTCATGTATCATTTTTGTCTACCACTTAGCAAGTCAGCATACGGTGGAGAAATATTACAGATACATTCTATTTGTGAAACAATGACCTGCTACAAATGAGCCATTTCACGCTCAAGAGCTCTGACGCGTTTAATCCAAGTCATAAATATTATTTCTCCACATAACAAGACCCAAAGTAAAGTAAATACACGACAACAAGAAATATAAAAGGTAAACAAAAACAGATGTGAAGTGCCTAATATAGAGAAGCCTAATTCAGATATTGGCTATCCTCTCTTCGCTGCAGCTCAATTCCCCTCCCTTAGATCGGCATGCCTTTGGGCACAATCTGGTCCTTTATCCACATGTAAATAGGCACCAGAACATAGTACGCGGCACATATTGTTCCCATGAGGAAGCGGAAGAAAAAGGTGATAGGATTCACGGGCTTGCTGACATCTTCAGCCTTCGGACCAAGCTGTGAGAAGAAAAAAAAGATGAAAACCTCTTAATATAGAACCATACAAAAACATGAAAGAAAGTATCTAAATGCAGACAATATGAAGGTCCATTATTCACTCTCAAACATGCAGAAAGTTATCCCTTTCTGACTGCTACTTTGTATACTTGTGGATAACCAGGCGGCAACAAGGTCCAAAAAATTATGAAATGCAAAAAAGAAAAACTATCATGTCTTTGCATATGCTTTATCTAAGAATAGCAAACAGTAGTAACTGTTTGATAAAAAAAATGCTTAATCTAGTTTAACTACTTAGGTCCAGTCTACTGCAATGGAAGTACAAGTTGCCGTAACAAGACCCATCTTGACAAAGCATATCAAAATGTAGGGAGAGTTGAAAATGTTAATCTGCAAGCCATTTTTAGCAAAAACTTGCCTGTAAAGGGGAGTCCCCGCTTTCTCTCTTGACACCCGTCACGGAGCACCCCATGATCAGGCCATGCCTACGGACACCACGGTACCACTTCGGTCCAATCCTCTTGAGCTGAACATCCTTGAACCCTGCCTTCGTGAACCATTCAATATACTCCTCTTCAGTGGGGAACAGCATCCACATATCGGCAAAAAAGCGAGACAGCCAAAAGGTTGGGTGCACGGGGCCGATCAAACAAGCTTTCCCGCCGAGCCTGAGGACCCTGTAGGCCTCCTTGATTCCTCGCTGCGGGTCAGGCCAGTACTCAATGCTGGAGGCCAGAAAAATCGTCAGTCATGACAGGACACAAAATTCAGCATCCTATAGTACAGAGTAATTTGTCTACCACAACAATTAACAAACAGCGTTCGTATAAGCATGGCATAGCAGAGCAGAGGAAGAGGGGTTGATGAGATTACCTGCCGGCGGAGACGTATCGGTCGAAGGTGTCGGTGGGGAAGGGGAGGTCCTCGGCGTCGCCCTCCATGATGTCGACCCCCTTGAGCGCCTCCTTCTGCCTGGCCTTCTCGAGCTGGTGGGGCGACTGGTCGAGCAGCGTGACGTTGGCGGGGTCGACGTGCCTGACGATGCCGAGCGTGGTGAAGCCCGTGCCGCCGCCGACGTCGACGACCTTGAGCTTGCGGCTGTGGAGGTCGGCGGGCTCGAGCGCGTCGTCGCGCATGTCCTCGGTCCAGTGGCCCGGGTTGATGACGTGGTCGTAGACGATGGAGAGGAAGCGGTAGAACCAGAAGGCCTCCTTCTTGTGCTGGATGAAGCGCGGCGCCGAGGCGGGCCGCGCCGCCGCAGCGGCCGGGGGCGAGGAGGCCGCGGCGCACCTGAGCAGCGGGGACCGGGCGCCCGAGGGGGCGGCGCGCCTCGCGAGGGCGACGGGGCGGAGGGCCGGCCTGGAGGGGCCGAGGCCGAGGTAGCCCAGCCCGGCGGGCGCGCGCACCCTCAGCGCCCCGCGCGGCGCCAGGCTCCCGGCGCCGCTCGGCGCGTGCGCGGAGGCCATCGCCATTGCCTTAGCCGGGAGGGAGTGGGGTGGAGCTGAGACGCCGCCGCCGCCGCGTCGAGGAGTGGAGGGGAACGGAGGGCAGCGGATGATGGGGCGGTGGGAGAGTGGCGATTGGCGAGCGAGCGAGCGAGGTCACGGGCGGATGAGTGGTGGGTGGACGGGGCGTCCTTCGTCCCACGTGGCGACACGTGCGCGACATGTGCAGGCTAGAGTCTATGACTGTGGGTCCATGTCAAAACCCAAACTCATCTAGAGTAGTACAATTGAAAGAAAACATCTTCTCAAAACAATATTAGAAAAATATATAAAAAGCTGAGTTGGTGATGATAGTGTGCCTGCCATCCTCCGTTTACAATCGTTCGATTTGTATTCAACACATCTGAGACAAACTATGTCAGTTTTACAAAAAGACCCCCCGCACTCCATTACTCGTTGGTAGATAACCCCTGCCTCTCACCTCATCTAGTCATGTCATGACAAAATAAAAAGATCTAGAAAGGTCGCTGCTCTTGGTGTTGTCTGCCCCCAACGCCTATTATGCCTTCGCTTGGGCCGCATTGCCGACCACCACCACGACCCCCTACTCCTCGCCATCTCCTCTGCCATTTTCCAAGTCATCCTGAGTTACATTCATAGTTGTCGAGAAAAAAATAAACAAAATCGATATTCAAAAAAAATTGAAGATGATTTTTTGCAAAGCACAATAAGTGTTATTTCTTCATAAAGTTTTGGATGCAGGTTAAACACTTGAATGCTTTTATTTGCAAAAGATATTTTTTATATATTTTCCTACATTTATTATTTATCCGTATGCTTGTGAGCTCTAGAGAAGAATGGATATCTGAAGAAACCTATCAATATTTATTAAACATGAGATGACCCGGATCAATGCATTCCAATGTTGCATGCAACGCACGGGCATCTTACTAATATTAGAAAAACAGAAAAATGGCATGAATCGATTTTCAGTCACTCGTGATAGTTTTTTTCTTTTTTTAGGAAAACAGTCGCTCATGATAGTTTTTTTTGAGCATCAGTAGACACAAGCGCTCATATACACGCACATACACTCACCCCTATGAACGCACACACGCACACCCTACCTCTATGAGCACCTCCGAGAGACTGAGCCGGCATATCATTTTGAGATTTACGAAGTCATCGTAAGCGCCTCGTCGTCGACGGGAACGTCTCCTCCCACTGAAAACGTATCGCCGGAAATCCTGAAATAAATCCAGAAACAGTGCGAGCACCAGGATTTAAACCCTGGTGGGTTGGGGATACCACTGTCCACCTAACCAACTCAACCACGGGTTGATTCGCCGCTCATGATAGTTACTCTGGTGTCAATAGAGAAAATGGGAAAGAGAGAATCTATGAATAGCCAACTTTAGAAATCAAACTCATTCTCCTTGTAATCGTCCACGGGTTTGGTTCAAACCGTGGGCGAGCCGGCCTAGGTCAGGCACCAATCTGGACTTGGGTTCTCGAGATCTTATATCGAGATCATGTTCTTAATGTTGACTTCTGTATGTAAAGTTAAACTCAAGACACACCTATGTGATTTGTCTGTAAAAGACACTAAACTAAACCCCACGCACCCACCCCCACGTCGCCAACCCTAGGCGACACGGGGGGCGACCACGCCGCCAGCCCTAGGCCCCCTTCCCTCGCCTCCTCCGTCCTCCCGCCGCCTGAGGTCTCACCGGCGAAGCCTGGCCTATGATGGCGGCGGGGGGGCCTTATCCCTCGCGCGGTGGTGGTGTTTTTTTCGGCGGCAGCGGCGCATCGTTCGATGCAGATCCGGCGGCAAGGAGCAGCGAGATCCCTACGGCATGCGTGACGGCGGCATCAGCGGAGGCGCAACCTCCCGGCGGCGGAGTCGCCGAGATCGCCGATCTGGTCTTGCCCAGATGGGCTTGGGTGAGCCGGCGTTTCCGGTGTGCATCTACAGGCAAGCGCGGTGGGCCTGACGGCGCCAGCTGTAGGCACCATGGTGGTGCTATGGCCGGTAAGGCGGCGGCGGCCTAGACTCCTTTCATCCAGTCCCCGACAGAGATGGCGGCAGTCCGTGCACGAGATGCTTGAGGGAGGATCTTCGAACCGATCTGGGTGAAAACCTGCTCTCGGCTAGCTGCCAAGGCCGGCAGTGGGGGCGCTGTCTGCGTCGTTTCCTTCTTGAAGGCATCGCCCTGGAGAAGTTCAAGGCCACTCTATGCTACCTCTGGGGGGGAACCCTAGATCAGTAGATCAGATGACGGCGACGCTATGGTGTCGTTTCCCGCTTGCGCGTGTCATTCGTGGAGGTGTACAAGGACAGAGGGACCAGTGGAAGGCTTTTTGGTGGAGCGGTGCTTCAGCTTACACATTGATGGCGACGGATCTCGGCGGCATGGCACCGTGAACACTCGACGTCTGATGCACGGAAATGGACTCATGCAGGGAGGTGGCGCTGTCTGGCATCATGGTGGCGTCGACGGTAGCTAGACCGGGCAAGATTGATGCAGCAATACAACACTAAAGATGGATTGGTGGCAGGTGGCTACGGCGGCCTCATACCTGATACGTCTCCAACATATCTATAATTTTTAATTGCTTCATGCTATATTATCTACTCCCTCCTTCCATCTATATAGGGCCTAATGCGTTTTTCAAGACCGCCTTTGACTATTAATAAAATTAATACTACATGACATGCATAATGTGAAAATTATATCACTGAAAGCTCCTTTCACATACGAATTTGATGATGTGTTTTGTGTAAGTTGCATGTCATATATTATTGCTCTAACATTTGGTCAAAGTTAGCCTCGAAAAACGCATTAGGCCCTATATAGATGGAAGGAGGGAGTACTGTTTTGGACTATATTGGGCTTTATTTTCCACTTTTATATTATTTTTGGGACTAACTTATTAACCGGAGGCCCAGCCCAGACTTGCTGTTTTTTGCCTATTTCAGTGTTTCGGAGAAACAGAATATCAAACGGAATGAAACCTCCGGAAACGTGATTTTCTCATTAGATAAGATCCAGGAGACTTGGACCCTCCGTCAAGAAAGCCACGAGGCGGTCACGAGGGCGCCCCCCTAGGGCGTGCCCCCTGCCTCGTGGGCCCCTCGAAACTCCACCGACGTACTTCTTCCTTCTATATATATCCACGTACCTCCAAACGATCGGGGACAGAGCCAAAAACCTAATTCCACCGCCGCAACTTTCTGTATCCATGAGATCCCATCTTGGGGCCTGTTCCGGAGCTCCGCCGGAGGGGGCATCGATCACGGAGGGCTTCTACATCATCATCCAAGCCTCTCCGATGAAGTGTGAGTAGTTTACTTCAGACCTACGGGTCCATAGTTAGTAGCTAGATGGCTTCTTCTCTCTTTTTGGATCTCAATACAATGTTCTCCCCCTCTCTCATGAAGATCTATTCGATGTAATCTTCTTTTTACGGTGTGTTTGTTGAGACCGATGAATTGTGGGTTTATGATCAAGTATATCTATGAATAATATTTGAATCTTCTCTGAATTCTTTTATGTATGATTGGTTATCATTGCAAGTCTCTTTGAATTATCAGTTTGATTTGGGCCTACTAGATTGGTTGTTCTTGCCATGGGAGAAGTGCTTAGCTTTGGGTTCAATCTTGCGGTGTCATTTCCTAGTGACAGAAGGGGCAGCAAGGCACGTATTGTATTGTTGCCATCGAGAATAACAAGATGGGGTTTTTATCATATTGCATGAAACTATCCCTCTATATCATGTCATCTTGCTTAAGGCGTTACTCTGTTTTTAACTTAACTAGTAAGATGCCCATGCGATGCAACGGGACAACAATGGAATATATGAAGACATTTCTCTAGATAATCATTCTACTTAGGACATACGTTTTTTTCCCTCTCTTCATTCACCCATCCATTTAATCCCAAAGCGTGTTGCCGCAAAATTTACATCCAAAAGCGCATTTGTATTGCTATAAAACTACACAAATCATCCCATTTTCGATAATATATGCGTTCAAATTGCAATGGTCAACATGCTTGGTTCCCCCAGCAAGTTGTGCCTTGACATCTTTATTTTTGTGAGGAAAAAAAATCCATGCATTAGCTTCGTTGGCCATCCATGCATTAGCTGGCACTGCCTTTGGAAACGCCACCTCTTCTAGCTCCACGCCTTAGGGAGTCTCATGTTCGACAACACATGTATCTTAGGGCCTGCACACGAAAAAAGAACCATGAGGAATTGCCGTGAATTGTTGAAAGCTCCATATGCAATATGGTTGTATCATGTTCATATGAGATAACACGATGTTGAATTTACTTGAAAGACAATATTAATTGTAACTGTAGATTAAACTAAACTTGAACCAGAACCATAAATAGGTGTGCGTGCCTCAAAAGCCCGAGAAGACAACCATGTGGTTGCAATGTGCAATATCAACAGTACATCCATACTGTAGTTCAGCAATGATGTTGCCCATTACTAATTCTTTCCAAATCTAGATTAGGAAAAAAATCAAGCTATCTAAGCGACTGATATATGGGTCCATAGATCTAGTCATTATTGTCCATATGAGCAAATCAGGCATTACGACAGAAGCACACTGTAGGAGGCAAATTATTTAGTAAACACGACATGGGTTTAACAGCAGGATTATCATCCGAGGAATTAAAGCAAGTTTTCAATGGGATAAAAGCATATAAACCTTACACATTATCAAAATTTACATGCAAAGATTAAAATTGATATGTGAACTGAAATCTTGGAGAGCACAAATATATCAACATGAGTAATGGAATAAAGGTACTATTCTGTTGTGCAAATGGAAACATTAGAGAAAATTAATTGCTCATGTGCGATAGAGAGAAGTGTTAAGTACATAGGAGTTTAGGAATATAACATCATCAAGGAGATGGAAGGAGCGTGTTGAAGTAATGGAAATTTGTCATGAAAAAGTTATCTCTTTAAGGCAAGCACATTTCTGGGGTACTTATGTCACCATTTGGAAA